CAGCTCATTCATAGTTGAGGCGGAGGTCTGTGAAAAGAGAGGAACATTAGCATCTTCGTTCGAGAAGGACTCTGAGAACTGGTCAGCAAACATGTTAGCCTTGTCATATGGACTACGACTACACGCTATGAAGTCTCCACATCTCAGAAGCCCAATGCACCCTTTGTCATGCAATTTTCGCTCTACTCGATGTTACTGAAGTACTTTCTGAGGCGTGTGAGGAAAATCCCTGTGAATTCACTGTACTTGGACCAGTTTTCGGTTCGTCTTGCTTCAAGGAAGAGGCAATCCCGATGCTCACTCATGTTCCTCGAATAAGGTGGTAAAGAAATAGACTTGAACGAGGTCACCTTCTCCCAAGGGACATAGTAATCAATGGCAGTGTGCAGTACTGTCAACAGCATCTCATACTTCTCATTGACACAACCACAGCTCTCAAGTAAGTCAACCCAGTGTATGCGAGAAAGATCACTTCGTAAAGCTCCAAAGTCACATGCAGAATATACTCTCCGAAAAGTGCTTAATGCCTTGCTGTCATACCCGGCGATTTCAAAAGTGATGCTGCTGTGATCACTGTACCCAACGGTCCATTGTTGATGTTGGCCGACTGGCTCAACACGTATGTGTGAGTGCTGATAAGCTATAGCATAAAAGCCACGCGGGGTCTCTGTAGTGCAAGAAATAAGAGCACGGTCTCTAGAAAGGACAAGTACGGGTTCGAATCCCGCCCGAGACTGAAGTTTTGCCCATTAATCGTCAACCTTGTGGAAAATCAATTCGACCATCAAAACGTGTCAGGATGGGTCATGGACTTTTGATAGTGATGTTATCAACAGTTGGGAACAATAATGAGCACCATTCGAGGTTTTCGGTTGACCAATCAGGTTGGTCAGTTATAGAGAAGGCGCTGTACCAGTGAAGTTTACAAAGAAAAGAGCTCGACCATCAACGGTGGTGAGATCCTGAGGTCCTGAGCAAATAATGTTTCTCTTTAGAAAAATGCTGGAGAGGAAGGGGCAATATTGATGAACAAACATAGAACCACGCCAGTATCGATCAAAGTAACAGAGTTGAACCACTTGCTTCACTCCATTAACCTACCCTTCAAGTTACTGCTTTACATATGAGAAGGAAATGTGGGATATAGCTGGGTTTTTCATAACACTACCTATATTGTAATCATAACTTTAAGGACAGACCGACAAACACACAAACCGACAAACCTACAAATCGAGAAACCGACATACCTACATGCCGACACACCAAGTTACTGCTTTATGAATGAAAAGGATTCAGCCGTGCAATTCCTTTCTACTATCGTTACATTGTGCTACTTGACATGATTGAGCATTGACATTCATTACGTTCTGCGAAACCCGATGAGCTGCATCACGACAATTTTGTGGCGGGGACACCAATGCTTCTAATGTCTGAATATTGAAGTCGCTTACCGGACAGGAAGTCCCAATAAGTTGTCGGTCTGATTAAGCGCAGCATATTCAACTTTAATTGCTTCAGGAAACGCGGTCTAGAGGAGCATCGGAGGCGTCAAGCCCTCCTTCAATGGAGGAGAAAACAGACGAATTTACGTGGCCGTTGCAGCGGAATTCCTCAAATACTCTGTCTTCGCTGTCAAAGGAATCGGCGGTCGACTTGTCGCTGTAAGGATAGACACGAAGTCGAGGTTGTGCTATATCTCACGCTTCCTTCCGAGCGAACATGGCAAGCTAGCTGCCGACTACAGAAGGCTGAGTTTAATCTGAGTCTTTACGAAGCCATCAGATTAGTTCTGGATGGGTACAATATCACCAAAAACGGTGATCACCCATGGGTATGCCGGCAGGGACTGGAGGGTCTTAAAAGGGCTCATGGAGACATAAGAAGAGGAGTCAGAAGCGATAAGAGGGATAGCCGTAGACCTAGCCGCAGCTGCTGAGGTTCAGCTGTCTGTAATGTAACGTTGTTTTTTAGCTCTTAGGATGTTATTTAGACAGAACGGTAAGGGTCAACTTCAAAGACTTTATTAATTCATCCTGAAGCGAGTACATGAGCAGCAAAGTGGCGATATTTGAGATAATATCACATCTATCAAGAAAAGACAAAAGCTCTTAAAATCAACCCAACACGTGCAAGGCAATTGGACGGTGCTCACCGCGTGTAAGTGTGGCACAGTTTTGAAAATCAGTACCAATTAACTGCTTAATTAAAACCCGGATGCGAGTGAATTCTCCAGCGAAAGCACTAGTACAAATTCAAATTAGTATTTCCTGTAACTGAAAATTATTTAAAATATGTATCGAGAGTGCACTGAGAAGAGAGTGATATGATACAGAATTGCATATGCATCGATACTTTGCAGGGGCGGCTAGGCGACAAGATATGGAGCCGAGGAGAAGATTCCGATGGTTGACGCCAAGATGAACATCGTGAAGACGTAGAGGCACAGCCTGTCCACAACCATTGCCGCAAACTTCCAGTTATTGGATGCCTGCCCCTCCCTGTCTGTCTCCATCATCCGCTTTGTTACAACCTGAAATATAACAATTTCACTTTCTCGTTGGTGACCCACATAGCTTGTGAAATTTTTACACTAAGCTACATAAATGTGGGGAAACCCTGATTTTCGTTTTTTCTGGCTGCCTTTCACTCATGATTGCAAAACAATTGGGTTATTGTTTTCGGACTCAATGATGGCTTTGATCAAGTCTCACACCAAACCAATACTCGTCGTGGAACAATTCTACAGTAGTGCTCGTAGCTTGAACTCATATATTTGCTTTATCCAGGTCATTTTAAGAGGAAGAATTTTGAACCCACGTCTTGGTGGAATTTGAAAAAAAAAAGAATACTGAAGAGTTCTACGTGCGCCGTCACCACTAACTCTGAAAAAGTAACACATACTGTTTGAGGTTTTTGTCGCGACTGTGCAACTAGGATTTGCCTGTTTTCCACTACAATGAGTTGCTGAAAAATAGCTTTTGCTATTTTTCCGACAACAAATCCCCCAGCCCTTCATATTCATGACGGTAACGCAGCTTGAGTATCATTAAAGTATCAAAGGCAATTTTGACTGTAAGTAAATGGTCTCGAATGGCCTTTATAACGACCCCTATTTAAACTTTTAAGTTTTACGATGAAGAAAAGCTGCAGCGACATGAAGCACTAGTGTTGAAGAAATGCTGGGAATCTCAACGAGTCAGTGCAACAATTATGCAGGTTTGAAGCCATGTTACACTTAGTGGCCAACCTTGCTGCCAACATGTCAAAGCCAATTGCAGAAACCCTAAGCTCGAAGAGAGCTAACCTCTTTTCTTGTGATGGAACCTTACAGGAGGAGAGTAACAGTACCAGTACATATAACCAGTCACAGTAGCTATTCGAGTTGATAAGTGGACCTCCTTATGTACCGATACTAAGTCTGCCCTGCAACTAGGCGAGACAATTTCGGAAATAAATTTAAGTAATCTGCCCAGACAAGGTAGCATTTTTGATAAAGGAATCACTGCGACTTTGTGATAACAAGTGAAAGGAGCTAGTTGACATCGAGCAGATCTCAAAAAAGAGAGCATTTTATGGATCAGAAATGGGCAGGTACATTGCTTTTGGTAGACCATTCTCGATGTCTTTTTTGAACAAAGGAGGGCTACAGATTACCACTGAGAAGCCTGAAACTGTTTTGCAAGTGTTCAGCAAGTGATAGAACACAAATTGTGTGCACCGTCAGTTTCATTCCACGCAGATGAGTTCGCCATCGCACCATCCGTACCATCACCCTACATTGGGCAAGTGATTCGATGTGCTTATAACTAATTGCGCCAACAGAATCCGCTCCTCGTGGAGCAAACGTATAGCTCGGTCCTGACGTTGGTTCGTGACGGCTCCTCGATCTCAGAAACATACAGCTTTGAATGCCTCACCTTCGTCACCACAACCTGTTATGCTCTCCTTGCCAGCCCTTCGTCAATGCACCCCAAAAACCATATTCGAAATATAACTACCAAAAAGAGCAGAAAGGCGACTGAAGGTTTATGGTTTCTGTTTCATACATTGAATTTGAGCCTTCTGAACACTGCCCATGCAACTCCACGAAAGAAATGCTTGTGTCATGTGGTGAAGGAAGAACTATTGCACGCACAATAGAAGTAACCTTGAAGTTTGTGTGGAGCGTTTCTGCGAGGCCCAACATATGGAAACCGCTCTTCCACTTATTAAGTTCCATTGGGTATTACCTTGCATGATCACATGGTTCTTGTAATATGGAAAGATCAAAACCACCTAGCACATTGGAAACATTGTGCAAATGTTTAGACTTCTGCAGCAACATCGACTGTAAAATTTGTCTATCAGTGATGTTTAACCCGAAATGTTGATCGCTAGGCACAGTCCTGACATTTATACATATTTATACAACCAGTTTCGAGATGGTGCGATACAACGTTACGGGAACATAAAGGCAGGCGAGATGAGAGGAATGCTGCCACTATGACAGTATTATACTTTCATCTCGCCTGCCTTTATTTTCCCGTAACAATGTATCGCACCATCTCGAAACTGGTTGTAATTCTAGTAAACAAGTTCTGCTGCTGCATCAAAGTGTTACGAAGCAAACGGCGAAGAGGAAGAGGAAAAAAGGCCACCGTATGACTGATAAAAACAAAATATGTCTACGACTTGCGAGAAACTCCACATTGGTGCCTCATAAAACTACCTTATAGAGGACTGTATCTTCATTATAATCAGGAGACTATATTTTTCTCGCTAGTTACACCTGAATGTGACGGTTAGTAGATTCTTCCCAATAGAGTTCTGTAAAGGGGAGAAGTGCGCTGGAATTAATAGCACTAGACAAAAGAGTGAAGCACGGTTACCGCTTTCCAGGTCGAACGGTATGCTTTGAAGTTTGAGGTGTATTTGGATGCAACTGTTTTCACCTCAGCTCTGGTTGTCTATTCTACCGAATTTTTGATACTGCAGAGGATACAAAAAATTTTGAAGTATTTCGACGTATGCACTGGGAGAAAACTAGGTTTGAAATAACCATAGAAGATATTCATACTTAATTCGGAAAAGCGAGCTGTGCAAGTAGCACTTAATATGCCGATCACCTTACCTCCCTCCAAGTGACTACATCTTTCTTAGCATCCCCGGCAAACCGGCGTTAAGCAGCGCGTACTCCACAGACAAGCCGGACACAGCAATATGGACGGGCGCGTTACTAGAAAACATTTCTGTGGATCAGGAACGAAGGCATATGAGTTGTATCTTAGCCGATGACTGTTAGTGCACTCAGGCTGATTTAACAATATCTTGTCAGTTAACACCAAAAAATTTAATAAGCTCAAACTCTGCCGAAGAAAACGATTTACTAGGAGCTTCGATCGCCAGAGTTTCTTTAATCGCAAAAATATAGCTGATACTATGCGCGAAATCACTGTCGAATGATACAACATAGAACAAGAAGAGAGCGACCGGTGGAGGACAGCTTAGTCCAGAATGCTACCAATATGCAGGAGGAGCAATCAATTAGATTCAATGCGTATCGTCAAATAAACTCCTCAGAGTACTACGTGCCGAGCATACTTATGTGATTCTTCCTTGCGCCCAAGAGTCAGAATCGTAACTACGACTTCACCTTGACTCAGCCCAACACTTCATACCCTGCACAGTTGTATATGGCTGAGCTAAAAACGATTTTGCACTAAGTAGAACAATTAAATAGGTCAATACTTTTCATTACTCCGGTTTGGCAACAGTAATTTGAATACAACATCAATCTTCACAAAATTTGAATGGCTTCATCTCGTCCACAGAACGGACATCTTTTTGAAGTGCTATAAAACCTGACTATTGTGCTGATCACTGCCGCACGGGTACTAGGCGCTTCGAAATACTCCCCCGACTTCTTCGGACAACCAGCTGTGCTACACTTCACGCAGTTGGAACGATATTATATGAAATTCTGCATCATTAGCTCAACACAAGAAAAAGATAGATAGGTAAAGTTCAAAACGTAAATTGCAAACGATGAAATTGATACAGCAACAACTTAACGACACAAAAGACGGAGTCGGGCTCTCACAACGCTTCCAACACAAGAGAGAACGCACAGTATGATTGTCATGTAGGCCCATAACTCGATAGATGTGCTAAGAAGGTGAGCTCGCTACACAATTATATCCAAATGGTACACAGATCGAAGGAAGCTTTGGCAAATGGAATCCGTCGAGTTTCGTTGAGTTCACTCGCCTGCGGTAGTCTACACTTACGCCTGCTGCTCGCAAGTTCACAGCTGACCACACCGCTATCCGGATTGCAACATGGGACGGCTGGATGGCACGCCCACAGCCCAACAACGAAAAGAATCTATTGCTGGTCGATCCCTTCAGGGCAAAGGATAAAGGATAAAGTCATGGGGCGCTAATCAATCCCGTCTGATGGATGCGCCCACGCATCCGACTCCCATTCAGAACCGTGGCGGCGTATTGAGTGAGTGGGCCTATACAGTAGGACAGTATAAAAGTAGCGTTTCAAGGTCAACTCAGTCATTCGCAGATACAGTGCCGACTTGGCTGTCCCGCGAATCACTCAAACTGGAAGGGCTAAAAGAAACCCTCTAGTTTTAGAACGCTGTGAAAAGTGCACGATGCAGAGGGACTTACAGGAAACTGTGGACAATATTGTATGAAAGCCAAGGAGGAACAACTCCGCTGAAGAAGGGGATGAGCAAGACGTAATCAACGACAATACAATTGAGAAAAAGGCTAGAGCCACAATAACCTCCTAGAACGAGGACGAAGAAGAGGAGCACTGGAGCAAGAAAATGAATCATGTGCTTCAGAAGATGCTAGCTGCGACGAAAAGAAAGCAAGCGACAAAAATACCGGAAAAAGAAGATGCCAGAGACGAGTAGGAAAGTCGGGTGAAGAAAACCAACATGGTGAATTTGTGAGAACGGGGGGAGTAGCGGGACAACAAGCTAATCATCGTCTATGACACATCATAGAAGGAAACGAGAAGAGGGAGTTACAATACATTGCCTAGACTTTTCGTTACCGCTCTCTAGTCATCATTCTCGGAATGGAGCACGGTTCAAATGAAATGAAGATTCATCGCCAGCACCTATCTTGGATGGCAGTCACCCATCTCAATTTTCTGAGCGATATTTTGCTTATAAGACGAACATGTGCACGCGAGAAGAAGGACCAGCTGAATGTGATGCCAGTCATGGAAAGATCGGTTTGAAACAAGCGAAGACAATGTTCCTGCAAAACTTTCTTCTTTCTGATGTTACGTTTTACGATTTACGTTCAAGATCACAAACAACTCTGGGTTCTTCAGCTATATGTTTCTGGGTCGGAAAATCATCGCAGCAAACGATATTGCGTGCGTTTACTTACACTTGCCCAATAACGAGCATTTATTGGAGTGATATCTATCTAAGACCTCAAAATCTAATGGAAGGAAATGTATTTGAAGTACTTACGCTCTATACTGAAATCCAGAGCGACTCTGTTT